TATTATATGTTGTACTTTGGATTCCTAAAGCTTTTATCGCTTTTATCGCTCATTTTTTACCAGTGTTTTGATGGTCTGCAAACTAGCGGGGCGGGGCCTGCTGTGATCTGATCAAGAATGATTGTGATTGGTGGTTTGCTGTGCATGCAGGGGAAGTTCTACACACACCAACACATGAACAAATAAGGAGTGAGAGTGACGCGTAGCCAAAAACCGGTGGCTACCATTAGCAGCTAACTTTTGTGCTCCGATTTTTACATAAAAATGGAATTATGGATTATAAACAATTGCTTCAAAGCCACAGATACATTATCAACCTATGGATCAACCGATTCAGCCGCGTTTTTTCTTTCTCGTTTTAATACCATTGAACACGTCTTTTGATCAGATTGACAGCTACGGTGAGACGATCTCCCTTAAAAGGTACGTGTTGTGATGTCTGTTTGCTTCCCCTGTTGCGAGATCGGATCGCTTAGATACTATACTTAAATAATCTTTGGAGTCTCAGCTTTAATCGGATATATTGTATGTGCAGTTTCGATAAGTGATAAGGGTATCTTTATTTTGAATTCTGTGCTAAAGTGCGTTAGCATTTAAAAAAAAAAAATGAATAAAACCGCACGTCCCTGCGGTGTGAATACCGCGCATGTGCATACCGCGGTTATCGCCATGACACGGTATACCGTTCAGCCCTAACACATGCATACACACAGACACACACATACACATACATAGACACACACACACAGACACACACATACATAGACACACACAAACAGACACACACAGACACACACACACACACACATACACATACACACACACATACATAGACACACACACACAGACATAGACACACACAAACAGACACACACACACACACACACACACACACACACACAATCAAGAGAGGGCTTTCTTTCCTGCAGCATCAGTGTTTAATACAAAATAATCTCTAGTGTTCCCCATATATTTTTGTATGTGTAGTAAGGAGAGATTATACTATACATATTCAGTTTATTAGGTACAACTAGCTACTAGTAACAGTCTAATACAGTGATGCAATAAATAATACCCTTATGAAGGTTATACATGTTTTTTCTGTAGAAAGAATTTATGTCAACTGATTGGTTATTTTAGAGGCTGAAGTTTCTGGTGCAATGCGAATAGGCGTTTCCTTAAACCCACGTTATGCACAAAACATTAGGTTATTTGATGTGATATGTCACTGATGTATTTTTCAGCAAACATATTTCTGAGATAGCTAAGGCAATTTGGGGTAATAGGTAACGTGTATCTGTTCTTGTCATCAGGTAGAGCAGTCTGAGGATCCAGAAGTAGATGACGTCGCGGTCGGACTTCTCCTGATCAGTGCCAGGTCGACAAATGCCACGCTCTTCTGCCCAGAGAAGATCGCTGTCGTCATAGAGGGGGACAAAGTTATCGAACTCCCACACTGGCTGAGGCATTCATCCATCTTTTCGCACTGATCTATGCCCTCCATCTGAGTTACCCGAAAGAGTTGGCAAACACTTTCGACTTCATCCAGAAAGTATTGATGGGCCTGGATGAAGGGAACATGAGGCCCAGGGTATTGAGCCTAAAAAATGAGCTTCTCACATTTTAGTCATCCTATAATATAACACACACACCACACTCCCTTGTGGCTGGACGCTGGCATTGTGCCACACACACACACACCACACTCCCTTGTGGCTGGACGCTGGCGTTGTGCCCCACACACACACACACACTCTTTAAATCTGAAATATGCATTGTAATATGTGTTACTGTTCAAGTTTGTTTGTTTGTTTGTAAATGTTAAAAAACGATGGACAACATTTTTATACCTTACAATACATATTTTACACACACACACACACAATGTTCTCTGTTTACATACTGCTGCTTTAAATGTGTTCTATGCATTGTAATGTGTTACTGTTCAAATTTGTTTGTTTGTAAATGTTAAAGGATGGAAAACATTTTCACATACATTTTGATACCTTACAATACATATTACACACACACACACACACACACACACACACAGTTCTCTGTTTTACATCCTGCACTTTAAATATGTTCATTGAAAACTGTGTTACTGTTCAGCTTCAAGTTGAAGGACTGTTTCCCATTATTTTATACTTTTAAGAAAATATATCATAGATATTTGTCAAGGCCTTAGCACTGTTTAATTTATTTTGTATTGAAAAGTTAGTTATTTGCTATAATGTATCTATATTGTTTGGTAAAGTTTATGTCAATTAATAAAACAGTAATTTGCATTTAAATTGTCAGTGTTAAAGTGCTTTTTAATGTTTAGTCAAAATGTTAACTTAGGGATTTTGAGTTACAGTTAACTAAAAATGTCGATGTAATCGGTTTCAACAAACGTTTTAAGTATTCGACATTCCGTTTTGAGTACTACTCAATTGAAATTTTTAATTCATATTGGGGTTTAGAGATAATACAAATATTTAAGTTAAATCTACCTGATTTTCATATCTACTGTGCTCACAAAATAGCTAGTTGAAGAGATATGAAAATGTTTAAGTTAAAGATACTTGATCTTTATATGTACAGTGTTAACAAAAATTATTAGTTTAAATAACTTAATATATCCATGTTTCTTTAACTTAAAACAATATGTTTGTGTCACTTAAAAATTACTAGTAAATAGAACTCAATTGATAAGATTATACTTTAACTTAAAACATTTAAGTTAAGGTACTCAAACATTTCGATGTAATCGGTTTCAACAAAACGTTTGAGTTCTATTAACTTGTCAGGTTTTACAGTGAGTGACAGTCCTTTTATTTGTTGTTAGGTATAATTATAACCATCTACTCTTTATGTATGTCCTAGTCCTCTATCCCTTAATGCAAAGTTTACTGTTCATGACAACAACTGTAACATAAATACCCAGTATAAATAAAACTTCGATTTTATTTTATTTTTCATGTAAGATCATATTTCCCATATTTTCTTAAAGATGTAATATATGACTTTACTATATATTATTAAATTCTTTATATTCAGTTAAAATCTAAATGTATTTCCTAATAGAACACATCATTCTGGCTTGTATTATCTTTTCCAACTACCTCCTGTAGTGTGGGGAACAGTATATGCAATCATCCTCTCAATAGGGGCTCTCACTCTCTATTTAATAGTGTTATTAAACCTTGTTAAGTTGTTCTTATGATCAATTTGTCATCGACTGCACAATGAAGGTTCTGACTTTTTACCATCTTTACTGTTTAATAATATCAATATGATTAATTACCATCTGAACTAATATAGCAAATGAACCAAAGAAGCATATGTTTACTGACGTTAGTCAACATCTGTACCTTCAATAGTGCAACAAATACTGTGTGACATCAGTGACAACTTTACACACACAATCGGTTAAAATAATTGAATAAAATATAAATGCCAAATAACGACAAAGATCATGGTTGGATTCCAGCCTTGGGACCTCTGTTGCATTGCATGCTTCCCTTTCTATCTCTAAAGTAATATGGAAAAACCTTTGGCGTTCATAGTCTTGAACCTAAAAAGAGAGCCATTGACATATATTGTATGGAAGATAAACAAAGCTGGATAATGTATTGAGTTAAAATGCGGGAGGATTAGTTATATGAATATGATGTAGGATGTCTAGTTTGAGAAAGGATGTACATATATATCTTTAAGTCCTGATACCTGGGCTTTGTCTATTGGCCCATACGGAAAACTCTTTGGATCCTTACATTTACGGTGGCCGGCAGGTGCAAACGCGGAACAACGGCCCAAAATGCATACATAAGCAGGAAACACCTGCAAATAATGAAATGAAAAACAAACAAACCCTGAAAACAAATACAACAGAAAAACGCTGCATTTACAGAAATGTTGCAAACTAAATACAACACACAAACCCCGAAAACAAACGCAACAAAAAAACGCTGCAAATACCAAAATGATATGCAAAGTCCAAAGCACGTACAAATCCCAAAACACATACAAAAAAAACATTCCGGAAGTGCTCCAGGCCTCTAGGGAGCGCGCTACGTGGAACAGATTGATGTCTGACCAGACATAGAGAGAACGAACAAGAGTGATGGAAATCGAGAGTAAAGAAACTTCATTTAAGTGGAGAAAGATATAAGAAGGTACGTTTTGTTTTAATACATAGAGCGTCATATTTATATAGCTAGCGTTAGCGTGCCTAACTACTACCAGCTGAGGAGAGGAGAGCTTCACGTGAAGAGAAGATAAAGTGAGGGAAGAACATTTTTAAAAGAGATGACAAATCAAGTGCAGGCAAATAACACGGGCCATAGTGAGTACCGCGGAAAAAGGACATTTGAATTCTTAGCAGTTTGTTTATATGTATATATTTGTGTATAGATGTTGCAACTATACAGAGCTTTAGCAATTACCTGTAACTATGGTCATGCTAATAAAGCTATTGAATTGAGAGAGATGTGACAACATGTGAAGAGGGACAAAGTAATGACAGGAGAGTAGTGTGCATTAGACATGCTCAAGAACAAATATAGAGACATTCAAGGAGAGAGAGAACACAGATTCAACGGTAAACATGATGTATCTTTCTATTTATTTAGCTAACCACTATTTAGACTATGTGTTTTTGATTAACTTGATTAAATGGATTTACTACATCAATGTATGTCTTTTCAGGCCGCCATGTTTTGTCCTTTCTGTGGCCAGCATCTGGGGACAGTTCAAGTGTTCTGTGGCTCCTGTGGCAAACATGTACAGTTTTTGGCAGAAGTTGAACACAACAGTAAGTTCACTTTTTTTATTGTATCTGTTTCAAATGCAAGAAATAAGGATTCAACATACTCTGTTTAGAATACGAATTGGCAGATGCATACACTAGTTATCAGCATGAAGGACACATTTTTTCATTGTCTGTTTATGTGAAATATGTAGAAGCCATCATTAAATTGTAGACTAATGCATGATTAAATACACAAAACAGCTTATATTATACATTCATAATTGTGTATTAGTTATATCTTTATAGAGAACATTATATATTTAGAATCAGATTTTGAGACAGTGAGCGGCTGGGAAAGTCACACCGCCATGGGGCACAAACAGTTGCTGACGTGATGTTTTCTTCATTCTCAGGCATTCCATAAGGAGGGTCAGGAACTCACGCTTGGGACCACCATTGTCCCCTCCATCCTCAGTGTGTCCCTCATCATCAGTGAACTTAACTGACATCTCATGAGAGGGATCGAATGAGGCACCTTTGAAGCCGCGGATTGCTCCATCGCACACACTGGCTCTATTAATATTGAACCTGCTGCAAGATGTATTTGTTATTTTTGCAGAGAGTTCTGCAACAATGTGTGCCGCAGTCAGGTATTCTGTGCTGGGAAAGACATAGTGATCTATTGTAATATTAAATGATGAAGCTAGTAATAAGATTTACAGAATAGAATAGAAAAATTAAGTGGTAATAGTAACAATTAATACCTTTGCTCCATTGTGTCTTCTGGCTCAGACTGGCTATCAATAATGATAAGTGCATACACAGTTGTGTAGTTGCTGCAGTGAGAAGACAGTTGAATAATTACTTTCAAATACCTAATATATGCATGACAGTCATATTTACAAAAGGATGTCGATCCTCTTCCTGTTTTTTCAATACATTGGGTTCTAAACTGACAACAGCACTTTTGTCATACTCCTGCACAATCCTTGTAAACATTTGAAATGGATGCAACAAAAAATATCTGATCTTTGAAAAATATTTGTGGGTGTTTTTTGTATTGTCTTCACTAAGATGTCAGATGTTGTGGGTGTCATTTGGAAATGTATAGAAGTATAATTGTTCTGCTTCCTGGCAATGTTACCCACTGTGATTGGAGGCTATACAAACAAACAAATGTAAAATAAAGATACACAGCAAACAACTGTGTCACGATGCAACTGTTAACCTCGTTTACCTATAGAAGTGGTTCTGACCCGGGGCAGACTGGACCTCTTCCTGGAATGGGGTTGGTGCTCCATCCTATTTTTACCCAGGAAATAAGTGCACACAAAGGTATTTATTGATTTCATGTTCACAAATTAAAACCTACATGGTATAATTACATTTGTAATTAGTCTTATCCGATCAGCGCTGGTTGTAGGTGCCTGAGAGGTCTGATAAAGGTTAACAACAAATATATTCAAACAACTGTACTGTTAAAACATTCTGCTTCTTGTGGCACAAAATAATATGTTGACAATGTTTTATTTTACCCTGCAAACTGTTGTCCATTCGTGGAGTGCTCACTTTTGGAACATTTGGAATGTCTCACCTGCATACAACACACAAATGACTGACTGAAATAAAAATAAATTCACTTTAATTAAGAATAAATGCCACGATAAATCCAAACTGACCAAGGTACATTATATTGTTGACCGTCCTTTAACTCTCACATTAGGATTTACATTGAAGCACAATAAACCAACTCCTCTCTGCACCTATAATATATCTATATGATGTCAAGAGTTACATTTAGGTGCACAGACAGTGCTGTCTCTTCACTTGCAAGCTCTTTCACCAAACAAGCTAACGCTAGCTGGGTAAATATGACGCTCTTTGTATCAAAACAAAACTTACCTTTTTATATATCGTCTTTTTCCACTTCGATCAACTTCGTTTCCTCCGGCTTCAATTTGCAGCACTCTTGTTCGTTCCCTCTATGTCTGGTCAGACATCAATCTGTTCCACGTAGCGCGCCCCCTAGAGGCCTGGAACACTTCCGGAATGTTTTTTTTTTTTATGTGTTTTGGGATTTGTATGTGCTTTGGACTTTGCATGTCGTTTTGGTATTTGCAGCGTCAGCATTTTGTTGCGTTTGTTTTCGGGGTTTGTGTGTTGTATTTAGTTTGCATCATTTCTGGAAATGCAGCGTTTTTTGATTGCATTTGTTTTCAGGATTTTTTTGTTTTTCATTTCAGGATTTGCAGCTGTTTCCTGCTAATGTATTTGTTTTTGGCCGTTGTTCCGCGTTTGCACCTGCCGGCCACCGTATTACATGAATAAGCCATATGCTTCCCTCTATGGAAGATACTAGGATTTTTCATTAATGTCTAATACAACATCAAAATGTTGCTTAACAGTGCTTTCATAACTTAAAATAATGTATAGAAACATGCAAATATATATACATATATATATATATAAAAACAGAGTTGTTTTTTTATAAAATAATTAACATTACATTACATGTCACTTGTTAGACGCTTTTATCCAAAGCGACTTACATACTTGATACTGTGGACAATCCCCACAGGAGCAATTTGGGGTGAAGTGTCTTGCCCAGGGACACAACGACATGCTGACTGCAGTGGGGTTTGAACCTGTGACCCCCTGATATTGAACACCAACGCACAACCCACTGCACCACACGCCTCCTAATAGTGCAACAGCAAGGCTAATCAAGCATAAAAACACCTAAATAGCTTGCTCTCTATGCGTTGTACTGTCATGCTGCTGATTGGTGGCGTAATAAGCACATCTTTAATCAGTCACATTAAAATAGAAATAAGTAAATATAGTAATAAACATAGTAATAGATGTGAATATAGAATCAAATTGAAAATATCTGACTGACGGGCACAGATACCTGATCCAGACATTTGAGTCATTATCAGCCCGATATCCAAAATGGATCAGATTGGTGCATCCCTAAAGTTGGCTAGACAATTCGTACTCTTTGATATCTTGATGAGGTTTAAAAGGACTAATGTTTGTGTATTTATGTGTATTGCTGAAATGGCCACTGACAATTCTGGCTTTGCTCCTATTTTAGAGCTTCCACATGGAAGATCAGCTGCATTTCCTGAACAAAAGTCAGAGAATTACAAAACCCCCCTGAGGTATTTTTGGAACATTTGCTCAAAGCACCATAGAGTGAATTTAGTTTCCGAGAAGTAAAAACCTCTCTGGAAATAATCCTGTGCTCAAATAAAACCCAACATTTGCTATTGCTTGTTGCTAGTTTTAATATGCAGTTGCATCCTGACACGCATGCAAGAAGTATGAATAATTGATGCTTTTTGTCTGTTGCTGTCGCTTTTTCCTTCTTTCCCTCTTTTATTGTGCTCTGAAATCTCCTTCTGGTACTGACAGCTTGGAGGCTTGTGCTATGGTTGTTCTTTCCTTTCAAAAGGTCATAACATTTTCAAGTTGCAGATTGTCTACTTCAGTGGAGGCTAAGGTTTCTCACATCTCGGGAAGGACTTTGTGTCCGTAAAAGGCCATTGTGACCTCATCATGAAGCTTTTCGTGGAGCTGGATAAATGACAAACATGACTCATTCATGCAATACCAGCTGTGTAGTTCTCGTTGTATCTGAAGATGTGATGATGAGGCAGGGATGATCAACACTAAAGCGAATGGTATACCTTTCATTTTCAGCTTTCACTTATCTTCTGCACCTCAGATATTTCTAAACTGATGTTCTCTAAATCTCTTCCCTAATATGTAAAGAGGTGACAATACCTTATTACCCAACGAAAGTTAACCACATGTTGAAGCATGTTAAACATCCAGATTCTTTCTAAGAGGACATGTCAATTGCAAATTACTATTGTATCTGTATCCGATGCAGGGTTATACAATTAAAACAGAACACTCATCACAATCTGCCAACAATATATTTCATCATTATTTTCTCCCCTTTAGGTCATGTCATTTTATTGAATGTGTTTTAAATAGAGACGGGAATGTAGCGTATGCCAATGCCACACACTACAACATTTATAACTCAAACTTATTTGCAATGTTGTCGTACTGCACATTATAAAATATAACTCGGAACTCGACATTAAAATACAAGGAAAGCAATACGAAAAATAGTTAATATAGAATTTTTAATTTGTACTTCTTATTCACTTATTCTTAGCTTCTTATGAAACGGCTGTAAGTTATTCACATCTCTGCACTCCCCTTTTCATTCAGAAGAGCTTACAGATGTCCTGAAGTTGGAAACAACAAATGCTCAAATCAGCTGGGAAAGTCCCAAGAAGTGAAATAGACCTCTGTTTACCTTGTTCGACCTGAAGGTACGCTGGAATACAGTGCACATACCTTTGTATGAAGGTTGCTTTAATATAATAATAATTCCTTACATTTATTATAGCGCTTTTCCAGATGCTCAAAGCGCTTTACAAATACACATTACACATATGTTTTATACATGCAATGGTCACTGTGGACAATACCCACAGGAGCAAGTTCAGGTGAAGTGTCTTGCCCAAGGACACTACGGCTTTACAGATGCAGCAGCGGCGGGTTTCACCCCTTGTTCTGATGATCATTGCACAGCGCACTGCGCCACACCGTCCATCTTCACGCCTCGAAGTCATCGAGGCGCTTTTACAAGTACACATTGATATCATACATGTACTGTGGACATTACCCACAGGAGCAAATCCGGGTGAAGTGTCTTGCCCAAGGACACAACGGCCTGACGCAGTGGCGGCAGGAACGGGTTTCGAACTGGAGTTCCCCAGCACCCCCCTTGATCTGATGATCAGATGCACAGACCACTGCGCCGCCCGTCCCTAATATACACTAATATTTCAAGTTAAACCATGATCATCTCATGATATGAATTAGTTTGCACTTCCTGTCTAGAAATAGTTTGAAAAGCCATGTGATCATTTTATCTTAAAATTCAAAATATATTCTTGTATAAATCCAAACAGATGGCACTACTCTGTTCTCTGAGGGTTGTGTTTGCGATGCAAGCCTATAATTCACAGACACACAGACACAATGACAGGCAGATGTTGTTTCATTCTCATATTAAATCCCATCGTAACGTATGCGTCTCTGGAAGATTCCACACATGCTTATCTAGTCAGCACAAGTTAACAACCTTGGATGCAAACAAAGCTATTGCTGGGCGAAGCAAAAAGGTCAACATTATCACAAATATGCCATCTCTTCCCTCAGAGCATAGAGTACTGCACAGTACGTTTCACAAACATAACTGCTTTTCCAACTGGAGTAGAAACTGTCCCTTCAAGCATTTCCTTAGATAAGTGGCAAGGCATTATTATACTTCGCAGCTCTAGAAAGACGAAAAACGACACAGTCACAAGCTACACAACCATCACGTCCTTGTAACTTTCTTTAGCATGGGTATTGTAGCGGCAACATAAGAGGGTAACATTCATTTCCTTTAGCATCATATGCATCAGAGCCGCAGTAATATCAGCTGTAAAGAAAGGTAATGGTGTGTGATTGAAGTATAGATTCCTCTCATGATCGTACCTGTGCACATTGTGAAATGACTTCACACACTCTCCAAATAATACAAATATCCATAAATATACCAAATAATAAATCACTTCTGACAGTTGTCTAAATGAGTAATTTCATCTCATGTATTAAATCATGAACAATATTTAATTCATGACTGTATGTTGCAACAGTGGCTGTCAGCAAAAATAGAGTATATTATGTTGAACAACAGTTTTTATTGTAATGTATCAAAGGGATATTAAAAAACAAGGCAACACAGTTAGACTACAAGTCTATCATTTCTAATATTAAATGAATTCTTCATTTTAGTGTCCCTGATTGAAAGCCCATTGGTAATTGTGAGCATAGTCCTACTCAAATCACCATGTAGTATGTGGGGTTCTTATTTAAATGTAATCACTTTCACTCTTGCTCTGAATTTTAAAGGCAATCCGACACAAAACTGTGGACCTATTGAGATATATTATCTGATTGTCACATTGAACAAGATTGATTTCCTCTTTTAACATCTATCTAGATTGTGGTTGAACACTTTTAACCCAGACCAAGTGGTACATTTATGTTGATGGCAGGATGATTATAATGAGCAAGATATGAATAATGATTGCTGCTGTGATTGCAACTCATTGGATGACGAAATATGTGCGAGGGAAACATCTTTGGAGACTCACTGTGTGATTTAGACAAGCCACAACCTCAGTGCCTGAGCAGTGAAACCTATGCAGATGTGCACAAAACTGCAGTTGATCAATTTGCCTTTTTGAGTGGCTACAAAACCATTTCAATCTTCAGAGACACTATAGACAAACTGGTAAAAAACTATTCTGTGATTTTTCATATATCTCACCCATTTGAATTACAATAGGGTTAAATTGAGGCATTATAAGAGGCATGGCGGTTTTAATGAAAGGTAGGTCCATCTCTGGTCGCTAACTGCTTGCTCTATGCTGTTGTCACCTGGGCCCTCCTCATTTTCAATGGTAAGACAGTTGTGTCACTGACAAGATGGCGTCAAGGAGCTGCAGGAGTTCCAAAAGGCTCTTCAACAATCTTTTCGGGACATTATGGAACCGTTGTCCATATTTTATACAATCTAGAGTTTAAGACAATCTTGAAAAGTACAATGTGTCCTTTTCTTGAATGCAGTATGAAGGATCAACATAATTAATTGAAGGGTTTTCTCATAGCTTAACTTTTTAAATAGATTATATGCATAATCTGCAGTTGTGTACTATTTTTCCGTATGAATAATGTTCTCTTTGTGTTATAGGTAAGGGCCTCTTCTGATTTATTACACCAAGTTTATACAATGGGAATAAGGTGCAGTATATAGCCTTCATTATCGTCAGGGTGAAACGTAACGCTACTTAAGGTGGTAATGGTTTTGGTTGCAAGGACATTCAGAATGACTTTGTCCATGGGCATTCATGTTT